CACAAAAACTTTCAGACAAGAATATCAGTAAGAAACAAGCCACAACAGGAAGCCCCACGTTTCTTAACTGTAACATCAAGAGGCACGTGTAATCCGTGTTGGATATTCAAAGGACATGCAAAGATTGGCACATGTCACCAGCTGGAAGCTACAAGACTGCCCCTACAGCTCCCAAGGTCAGTTTTCAGGTGTTTCTGAAAATGAGATCATTCCTGAGATAGCAGCTACTGATATCAGTGAGTAAACACTTCTAATCCTAGCTAGCAACTGCTATTAACATGGTAATTAATCTACTAAAGCTATGAAATACTTTCAGTGGGTTAGGAGGCTAAAAATTGCGTGTTTCATTATTTATTCTATCCCTACAAATCCAGCGTAAAAGCCATAAAGGCAGCTGACACAGAACACGTAACAGCTAGATCACTCACTCTGTGAGGACTTAAGAACTCCGTTTCAACCCAACAAGTAAGAGTTTTTTCCAACTCATCATTCCACAGATGAAATAAAAAAAAATCTCTGAATATTTCTAAACATGGCATCCGTAACTTCAATCACCTGCAGCAAACGGTGCAGAAAGGTGAAGGTCTCTGAAAAGGAGTCCTCAGCACATCAGCTCTACACGGCTCCCAACATACAGTCTTCAGTTATTTCTAAGTTTTAGATGATCCTATGGAATTAGCACGGGTGAAAAAATAGCACCTTATGCTATCAACTTGAAATAGCCATTGATGCAGTATTTGGAAGCTGACTAGGCAAGAGCCTTTTCCCATTCACAAGATATCAACCTGAAACAGCCGCATAACGACAGTGTCACTGACTGTTACTCCCTTTCAGCTGCAAACCAACCCTGGTCAGACCTGCTATTTATGACCGTGGTTCTGTGGCTGAAGCCACGACCAGGTCATCGCACTGACTGCACTGAGGGGCTCCTGTCAGTCAGCTGGCAGAGCAGGCGCTAAGTAGCCAAAGCATTATCTTATTTCCCTGTTTTTACAGAATTATCTCAACAAGTAGATGAAACAACTCCAAGAAATACAAGGCGACAGATTCATTAATAACTTTTTCTCTAGTTCTGGAAGTTATCTCCTCCGTGTTCCTAATGCACGTAGACCTCTTCAGAAAGTTAGCCCACACAGAGATTCATGTCATTATGGCTAGATGAGTTCCAGTATCCAAGTCAGTCCTGGCATGCCGTTACCGACCAGACAAAAGCTTAAGGAGTTCTGCAAAGACACCATCACTGCAGCCTCAAAGCAACCAAGAATGAATAAAAACATTTAGTTTTGACCGACAACAAAGAGAGATGTTCATTGTCAAAAGTCATACACCACAGAAGTCTGAATGGGTGGTTCAAGAAGTTGGGAGACAGTTTTGAGCCATTTCTCCCTTCCCTTGGGGGTCACAAATTGACCAGTGGCAATTTGCCTACGTGCAGAGCAGGAGACATTTGGCTACCGGTTTCCACATGCCGTGACACTTCCAGCTCCCCCTCCTCTACAAAGAGCCGCGGTTTGCAGCTCTAAGCACTACACATCAGCTCAGAAATGATCCTTCAGATGCCAGGCTCTAAGTGCTGGCCAGAAAACCATCCTTTGTGGCAAAGGTATAAAGGACAGCTGAATAGCCATCTTGAAGAACAAACCCAGCCTGAAGTCTCAGTTGCATCATTTCCAGTTAAAAACAAGCCCATTATGGCTATTAAATACCCAATTCTTTAAATATGTGCCTTGGCTTCATTTGAAGACAATTTGCCCTGTTCCCATTTTTAAGAACCATACGACCACCTTGGATTTTAAAAAGTTTGAAGAACCCATGACTCGTGTCCTGCAAGTGTTGGCACCAGTCATAACCATAAGAAAATACCAGACAAGGCAAGGGGCAGAAGTGATCATCTTTATAGGGACTAAAGCAAAGGTCTGCTATAGAGAGGGCAGCGTTCTCCCTACTTCAGGCAAGGAAACTTAATGTTCCTTTTGCACCACCAAGTAGAAACCATGAATCTAATAATTACTGACCTACTTAAAGCCAGCCACAGCCACCTTCTCCTGTAAAGTTAACATTCATATAATCCAAGAACAATCTCGAAAAGCCCAAGTTAAAGCAGAAATGTACAGAGCGCTGTTTTGAACCTCCCTGTAATCAGCAATTGCAGCAGACAGTAAGAGACAACAGCAAAAAGCAGTGGCTTGCATCACTAACCACCTTGAAATGTGTTCACCTACCCCAGTGCAACTTGAAGAATCATGAAGCGTTTACAGTGGATTTTTTTTTGTAGCAACTGTTCAATCTCTTCACTATTACACACAACTCATTTTTGAGAGATTTTGCTGCAAAACGTGAAAGACAGGACATGGAAAGAGGGCTGCAAGCTCCAATCCTCTGGAAAAAAGCTGTAGCTAACATCAAGTTGTGTCCTATTTTAATAGGACTGACTAAACGGAAGCAGCACATTTCCACTTGTTTCTGCAAAGAGGACAACATGCACTATTCAACCGCTTTGCTGCATCTCCCTGAATAAACAAGTGAAATATAAGTCCCCAGAAATTGTAAGGGACCTCTAGTTACACAGAAAACCAGGCAGTCACACCAGCGTTAGCCCCTATTCCCTCACTCTGCACAAGGGAAACGCTGAAGGAGAACCAGCCCCGTTCACAAAGAGCTCCCTATTTGCACGCCATTACACATCCACCCCATTCCAGCTTCCAAAAGTTTCCTCAGGCCCTCAAATGGTGACCCCCTTCTCCACCTCGTTTTCGAAGGATGAGCTCCAAGAGGTTTGTGCTTTAAACCCGAGCTGCAGCACTTGTACCATTTAACCCACAGCGCTGCCTTCAAGGACCAGCTTCGCGTAGCTCAGGCTGTAGTAAAGCAGTAAGAGCGATGAGAAAGTGCTGGCACCGGGGAAGAAATTCTCCTCCAACTCTGAAGAGGATGAAGAGCGCAGGATCTTGGCAGGCAGCAGCCCAGCCCAGCTCACTTTCTCTTGACATCGGCATTGTTTTTTTTCTAGGTGATGTTACAACACGAGTATTGTCACAACATAACTTGGTAACATCACAAGATCTAAGTCCATGGCGTTGGAATGTATTTGTGCATATTTAAACAGGGCTGAATGGAGAAAGACATTGTTTTTTCCACTTACTTCATCCAACTCTTGCTTTAAGCCAACGGCTTACTCTAAAAGTAGCAAAATTACCCAGCTATCAGCATCGAAAAAATTTAACCATCTTAAAAAAGGAAATCTGCATCTGTTCAAACAAAATGCCTATTCCAGAGACTATGAAAGCAAAGTCACCTTTTTTGTTCCCTCTCGACTATTCCGTACTTAGCAACCGGTACTCCTCAAGGCCAATTTCTTTAAAAAAAAAGTACTGTTAAAGAGACATCCCTTCAATGAGTTCAGAAGAAAAAAAAAAATGAATCAAATGACTGTCCTGTATGCCTTCTTGCTGACACAAAAAATGGTAGGATGGATTCTCCGTCCATCTTAACACTGACAGAAATAGTGCCGGAGTTTTTCAGCTACATAAATCTTGCACTATTTGTGAAGCTTTGAAAGCATACTCTAAAAAATATTCCTGCCTGCGTAATTTTATCTTTTTTTGCCCATCTTATTTTGGGAAAACTTGTACATCATTTGCAGTCTTTTCCTTTCAAGCCTAGGGTCCTCGCATCTTTTGAATAAGGAAGTTGAAGCAGTTAAGAACGTAAAGGAAGCTTTTTCTGGTTCTAATTATACCTTTCTACACTCTGTGTGAAATATTCTTTCCATCGATATTTTATTCACGTAGCGGTTTAAACTGAATAAAGAGGCATTCCCATACCCTGTCCTTCCCTCTTAAAACAAAATGTCAGGAACAAGCACTGTTTAAAGACACAGGAAGGGAAGATTAAGAGAAATATGAAGTTTAATAATACTCATCTAAGTTTCCCAGTTAAAGCAGCAGCATTCAAAGAAACACAAAATTGGAAGGAAATCTGTATTCAGAAGCAGACCAAGCACGCGTTTCTGTCTCAGTCTGAAATTCAATGCTCAACTTAGAGCTGTTTCTGAGGGCTCAGTACAGATTCCATTATTTAGGATACTACTCCAACACGGGGATTTTCACAGCCTTTAGGTATACACCATCTTTCCCGACAGAAGGGTAACGTAGTTACTTGCTGACTGAGTCCATACATCCTCAAAAACTACGGCCTGTTAACTGATCACATGCACCCACTTAGCTGGTACTTAGTGTGAACTTTAAAGCTGGTTAAATTCAGTCAAGAAGACTCAGTTTGACTCCCTAATTTGTAGCAGGCTAAGAGCACTTAAGCAGCCAGTAACATACCTAATTACTAACAGCACCTCTTAAAATGTTACTGTCTAGCTTAATTGCTGGCAGTTGAACGAGCGAACAGCAAGTTAATGACGGTGAACCACTGACACCAGGATCAATACCTGAGATATTCAGGGTGACAGGCAACCACAACATTTAAGTTCAGTATCAGAAACTCAAAACGTTTGCCATCACATCCATCTAAACAAAACCCAAACTCACTGAGATGCTTTTGCCACTGGACAGCTACTCCCAAAGCTGATTCTCCTTTCCAACTTCTAGGGAAACTTTTAAACAGATGCTTCTTTTCGAATCTAGCGATATTACGCGTTTGTTTCCCCTGCTAAATCGCTGGTCTTCCAGGCAAGTGGCAGGACTGTCCCCTCAGCAGATGGACTGCCAGAAGCAATCAGTTAAGGTTTACAGCGGTGCCTGCTGATGAGCTTATGAACCCCTTCTCATTTAAACATCACGAGCCTGTAAAAACTCCCTGTGTCCCCTCTTTTCACCCTCAGTTGACCACCCCCACCATCAACCAAGCAAGCGATCTCTGCCAGCCTCTTAGGCTGCCATTTACCACTAGAATGCCTGCACTAAAAGGAAGGTTTAAAATCAGAGCTGAAGACACAACCCAGTGCCCAGCAGCAGTGCCATGATGGTGTGCAAAAGCAGGATACCCACCTTGTGGCAGCCAGGATAGGTTGCCATGGTGTTGAGGGTAGAGGTGCTGGGATTCTTGCTGGTGCTGGCCATGATATTCTGGATCTGGGTGAGCTCTTGCCTCAGCACCTGTTTCTGGTGGAAGCTGAAAGCAGGGTGGTTGGATGCCATCGTGAAGAGCAACAGGAACTCATCCCCTGTGCGGCCCTCATTGAGTTGTAGCCCGTAGTTGTTGATGACCGAGTCGATGTGGGTGAGGGTACGGAAGAGGACCCCGGCCGCCTCTCGATGGGCAGACCCGAGCAAGGCGAGAGAGACCAAAAGTTTGCTGCGTACCACCTCGTCCGTCAGATTGGTGAGGCTCCCCAGGTCGGCGGGGTTGTTGGCCTTGATTTCGGAGTCACGCAGCGAGTGGTAGTCCTTGCGGGCCAGGTCCTCCAGGCAAGCGCCCAGAAAGCGCAGCTCCAGCGGGATGCAGAGGTCCAGGAGGCCGCAGAGGAACTCCACACGCTGCGGGGAGGGCAGCTCGGAGAACCAGCGGTACACGCCGCCCCGCTGCAGCCGCGGGCACCGCTTCTCCACCATGGTGTTCCGTCTACCCCCGGCCCGGAGGGAGCACACCCTGGTGGGGGCAGCGGCGGCGGCGGCGAGGGCGGGAGGCAGCGCCCCGAGGGGGGCCCGCAAGGCCGGCGCCCCGACACCCCGCAAGCG